GCACTATAAATAGTTGCTTTGGGGAAATGAGTGATGCTGTATTCTACCAACATAAGCATATTCCTCTGTCATTCAGTTGCTTACTTTGAGGGCAAAGAAAAGAATCAGAGGTATAGTTTTACAGGAAAAAATTACTGAAATCTCTAAAGGGAAGACGGAGCTGTAAATGTGGGACAAATACATGATAACATATTATAAAAAAAAAGTAACTGCTGTGCAATTTTATGTAAATTATTATTTTTTTGTTTCTGGGTCAAAGCACTACCTTTCTCTTCCTCTTTCTTTCTAATTGAGTACTTGCTGTTGAATTTCCAGAACTGTCAGTGATGATCTGGATAGCACAAAAGTTGTCTTCTGATTTTGAGTTGGCCAAAACCTCCATCCCTTGCTTTATAACATACTTTTGGTAACTGCATTTACCAGAGCATCTTTATGAGGCAGGTAGAAGCCACCCTTACATTAAATGCCATTGTGTTTTTGGTGGTTTTTTTTTTTTCTTTTGAGTGGAAAAGGAGCTCCAAACTCAAGGGCTTTGGGATATCGCTCCTTGATACATACTAGCATTTATATTTATATTTATATGAATTACTTTATCGTTGAGCATACACAAGGAAGGTTTCCACAAAACATGTTTTTTGTAGTAGGTTTTTATAAACAGGATTTTGTCCACAGGAATCTTCTAGAAACAGAGCTTTCATACTCAGGTGATACTCTGTGTGCTGGATCTATCATTTGTGCCTCATGCGTCTCAGGCGAGTCAGTAGATGCACTGGAGGAGTCTCTTTCATACATCATAAAGAGATGGATGTTGTGCTCACTGTAGAAATGCTTGGATTGCTTGTGATTGCTGGGCCAGATAGCAGTGTGTGAAGAGCTCTCCCAAGATTTCCCACTGATTATACTCTTCCATTGTTTTCATAGGGCAACATTTAGAGAAACCACCTCAGTGTTTTTATGCACTTACAGGAATAAATAAATTGGTGCAGCTCTTTTCCAGCTACTTATTAGGCTGAAGGCTCCATCCACATAGCATCCACCCAGGAGCTGTTGACAGAGCAGATGGATGAGATGGCACCGTCTGTCAGCTTGGAGACTGTCCCACACAAGATGAAGATAGGTAAATGCCGTCCTTCTGCTGCAGACTGCACACTTTCAAGAGTACTTTTAAATGGCAAAATAACACTTCTTAGACTTAATGCCTGAAATGCAAAGCATGGGCAGGGAGAGGCGAATAGGTATTGTGCTTTGACAAGGCAGACCCCCAGCTCCATCAGCAGTAGAGAAGAATAAGCAGATGTCACTTGAAAACTGCCACAACTGGCCTCCACCTTTCAGTAAGACGGAGTAACATGAGGGATCAAGTACATTGTTCTTTCTCCTTGAGATCCATGACATGCAAGTCTTCAGTATTTTCCTCTCATACATACAAGAGCAGCAACACATCTGTTGGCGAAGAATTTACAGAACTCAGGGTGGTAAAGCTGGTCTGCAGATTGGAGGGAGCCTTGTTTTAGGCTAACCATGAAATATTCACATAAGTAGACATGTTTAGAAACCAAGAGAAATGAAAGCAACCAACAACTTGGTTTCTAAATTTCAGTACAAATCTTTTTTTTCTTCCCCCTTCCTAAAGGTGGGGAGTTTGGAAGAAAAGCTGTTCTAGGCAACAAGTTAGGCAATTTGGTTAAAAATCATTTTGAGAGAAAGGGAAAATGTATCTTTCCAGTCTGCATTTTGCTTTTCTTGGGGATTGGAATATTTGTTTCACCTTATTTGTTCTGTTTTGCAGGTCATGTCTATAGTCACTGAACTCTTTCTCTTCAGCCTATTTGTCCTGTAGTTTTTGCTTGGAAAAGTTGCTCAGTACTGCAGAGTTTTGGGTTCAGATGGGGAAGCCCTGTGTGCATATTCTGGACTCTCTGTTGTATTGCATTTGCTCTTTTCTCTCATCCTTTCCTTATAAAATAAGAGTCTTTTCTCCTACTAACAGGTAGTTTGGTTTGTCTAGCAAAAGAACTTCCATTATTATTTCTGCCTTAACATCTCAGCAGAGATTTCAGTCTATTTAAAGATTCTTGTAATGATTTCAGTGATTTGTATATGTATGTAGGGGAGATTTATTGAAAGTGTACGAAAGTGTCAAGCTACTAAGTGTCAAAGACCAGAAGCAAAATACACTAGTTTGTCAGCTTTCTGTATAAACCCTATAACCAGTTGTTAATGAAGTTGATTCATTTTTTTTCTTGCTGTAAGGAATATTTCTAAGAGGCTCCGTGGCCTTATTTAATCCAGCTACACCTTTCACACTCTTTGTCCACAGCCAGCGCACATCAGGAGTTGTTCTTGTCAATGCCACAAGAGTTTGGGTCAGGGTCTGTGTGCTGGTTCTGCGTCTTCGTTTGAATTCCTCTCAAGTTCCATCTATTTTTTACAAGCTTTTCTTCCTATATCGGCTGTCAATTCGTTTATACTGAAACTGTTCCCTTTTCTAAAGCACTTGTCTCTAGAAATATGTGCTTCTTGAGGCTTCATAGCCTGGAGTCTTCACTGGGGACCAGTTTCTATTGTGCTGAGACAGAGTGAGCAGGCAGTGTTCATCCTAGATCCAGTACTAGCAGAAAAACACGATAAAGACAAATTAGTTTAGCATAAGGTAATTATGGTCACCTTGATAGTTGTTGTTATCAGCATAGGAACAGCCTAATAAGATAAAGTGTCATCTGGTTCTGTCTGAAGCATTGGTGCAGCAGTCTGCTGGCATATGGTGAATCTTGTTCTTCCCACAGGAAGGGAGGTGGTGGCTTCTGAAAGGCTGTAATTCAAGTGTCCGATTGAAAAATGGAGCTGTAGTTGGCATGTTCAGGACAGCTGAGACAAACATGGCTCTTCTTCATGTCCTCACTGCAGTCAAGTGTCCCTCTGTCCCTCAGGAAAAGCATTTCTGTATTTCTATCTCTGAATTTTGAAGGTGATAGGGATGAAATCCATTATCCTTCTGAGAAACATTTTTCTCCCTCTATAGAAGTTCAGTCATCCTTTCTGGTGTGAGGAAAAATTATCGGTGAGCTAGAAATAAACCTTAACAAGAAATGTCCTTTGAAGATGAAGAGAAAATAGGAAGCTTAAAGAGTCTGGAATGAGCAAGTGCTTTTCTCTTCAAGCAGATTAAAATCACTGAAAGACCAATTCTATCTAATACTGGCATAAAGTGTTTTAACTGATGAGGTAACCTATTTTTTTCTTTCCTTTCTTATATATGGAAAAAAAACAGTGGAAAAATCTTATGGCTAACTCTACCCACTGACTAAATATATCCTGGTGGAGATTCAGTGGATTTGACAGGCTATTCTCTACGCTCAGAATAAATTTGTATCTAGCTTATGTAGGTGTTGGCTGCAGCACACGTTACAGTCCTGGTGCTGGGCTTGTTCAGATTTGGGATCTGTCTATTTAAACACGTTTGTTCTTCACGTGCAGAACGTGTCCCTCTCAAAATAAATTGAAGTGTGCAGCAGAACCTGATGCGATATTGGATTTTAAACTGTAGCTGTTGTCCATTTTGAGATTCTGCAGCCTGGTCTTTTGCTAGCAGAACCACCAGTCCATCCATAACCTTAGATGCTGCTATTTTTAACACAGCGCAAGATTCCTATTGAAGTGCAGTGGGAAATAAGGAAGAAATGAAAATAGTTTAATGTTACCCATCTCCATTCCCAGCACATTAAGCGCAGACTGAAGCCCTTTCGTCTGGTCATCGTAGCAGTCAGAGATTTCCAAGGCTGCATTAACCAAAGCTTAATAAAAAGCGTTATCAAAGCAACAATTTTCTTTCTTTTTCTGAAGACGGTTAATTGTATTCACTGCCAGAACAGTCAAGGGTATATCTGTTTATCTTACTAATAGGCTTGTCACAGCTATCATTGACCAGTTGCTGAAAATCTTTGGAAAATAGGACCTGTATAACAGTCATATAAATTTAACATTTCACTGAAGCTCCATTTCAAAAGTTTTGGCCTGTTGTTTGTGGATTGTATTTATTTGAGCCTGGCCTCACACAGGAAACCTTTTCATGAATTTATTGCACTCTGTGTCGGCAGTGTTGCAGAAACCTTCAAGGTCCAATCTCTCCATAATATACCAAATATGTTTACAACTCTGCAGACAGATAATACCTTATTTCCATAGCATTTTCTGAAAGCATCCTGAAAATTCACTGAGAGCATTAATTAAGTTTAGAACAATTGCACACAAAGTTGTGTAAGCAAGTGTTAACTAACACTGGAACCGAAGTCTTCTGCTAGTGGAAAGATCTAAGCTTAACTTGTGTCTGCTTCAGCAGTTGTGTTATGGAAAATCAGGGGAAAACAGCCATATTGCTATGGACTATCATTTACAGTGGAAACAGGTAATGCAACACAATTCTGTTCAAAGCAATAATTTTAGTTTAATTCAGAGACTACATTCATATTGCAAATATTTTTGGAAAATGAGATGGCCGCTACTCAGTGTTCCAATGATGGAATGGCTTTTTAAATTCAACCTTAAAAATGTCTGATATTAAGATCTTTGATCTAAAGAATATAAATAATTGATGTATTTTCACCAGCCTTTGTCATTTTAATCTTACTTTTGACAGTGTCTTCTACCTTGACATCATTATCGCATAGTTTTCATCTTCTACAGGCAAAGCCTGGTGAACTTTGAATAGAGCTCTCAGGGAGAAAAAACATTTATTGTATTGAAGCATTTGGCTGAATAATTGTGGTTCTTTTTCCTTCTTTTTACTGTAGTGAGATAATAGAACATAATGGAATTCTGAATTAACAATATTCTTAATATTTTTAAATATACTTCACATTTTCTGTATTTTCATAACAGGCACCACAGCTTAGGTTGATACCTGTTTCTAGCCATAAAACCTCTGATGTGTTCTTCATACAAACATCCCTACACAGGCCTTCTTACTCTTCTTTCATAAACTACTATTAATTAAGCCACTGTCCTGGAGCTTGATGAGATCTGGATTGAATTCTTGAGTTTTGCCAGTTTTCTTTCTTGTCCACGTGAAGTTGCAGGTTTTCTGTGCTTGAGAGGAGTCCTTTGATGAATGGTACTGTTTTCCAGTCTATGTTTGCTCTTTTAGTCCTGAGTGTAAGCTACGATCACCAGGGACAGTCTCCTGTCTGCAGTATGTGGTTCTTATTAGAGATCACCTTCTTGCTTCTGAAACACAAATGTAATATTAATATAGAGTTAGTTCTGTCAGAACAGTCAAAACACCAAACTGAAGGTTACTAATTTTATTTTCCTGAAGACTTCTCGTAGAGCATTTGTCTCCTGTTGAATACAAAGATCATGGCATATGCTCCTTAAGGACAGCTGAGTCTCCTCCATGAGAAGTTCACTGGGGAGAACCAACTACTAATCTAAAACATAGGTCACTGCAAAAATAGCTCATTCTATTTTTTCCATGGAAACTACAACAGATACAAGGTGCAAAATAATGCTATTTGATAGCAAATTCTCAGCTACAGAATGTTGTTTTTCAAAATAGTTACCACCATTAGCTATGCGTCCTCACCAGTGATAATAAACTGCATGGCGTGCTCATAAAAATCTGCATTGTTGTCAGGAATGTGGCTTATCTTCATGTTGCTGATGCCACTGCTGAAATGCACCGCCCACCTCACTGTGCTCACAGCCGCTGCTTGGTCTCAGACATTCAGCAAGCGTCGATGAATGTCAGCATATGTAATTTTTTCTGCAAGGAGGAATTCAATTGCACACCTTTGCTTCATGCATATTTCCGTGTCAGATGCCCTTCTGTCAGACTGCCCCTCTGCTGCCATCTGTCCCACTGCAACAAAATGCAACAGAATATTGGTGGGAAGGTTGAGCTGCTGCTGCTGCTGTACCACCAACACCTTGTGGACCAACGTAAGAAAGCAGGAGCAATTACTTTCAGAGCAGCCCTAAGCTAATGTTTTGATGAAGATGCAATGTCTGCTTCCCAGATTATTGAAATGTCAACTGAATGTTTTCTGTCTGTTTTCTCTTTATAACTAAGTTCTCTATCTTCCTGCCCCATCTTTTTGTTCAGCTTCTCAAAAATACAAAAGGAGCTGGCTAGCTTTCTTCCCACTGTGAATGACAAAACCTCAAGATAGTGTTAAGCTGACATCACTGTGCTGTTTTGCCAGTCTCTGAAATGTCACTGCATGGGCAGCCTGCTGGGCTCAGCTCACAGTCATCATGCCAAGGCTCCCAATAAATGAAGAATAAAGGTTAATGAAGGAAGAGGGTTATTTATTATCTGAAATGGAGTTGTCTGCTTTTTATCTGAGAGGTTTTTTCAAAGTATGAGCTTCTGATTTTTACCTATTGCCTTCGCGGTACTTGGTATTCAGTTTGTAGGCTAAATCACAGTGGATGTACAGGGCCCACTCCAGTGTCCTGCTTTCACTTGGTCTGACTGTCGCTGGCAGTCCTTGAAGGAGAGGATGCTAATGGTACTGACCTTGCATGATTACAAGGCAGAAAGTGATCTGTTTTATGGCTGCAGAGGTCTCTACTTCGAGAAACAAACAAACAAATCTCTAAATATGCCCAGAGCCCAGCTCTGTCTGCAAAGCTGCCTTTTGCCTCCCAGAGCAAAGTGTTGTGATAGATGCAGATCTTCCTGTGCCCTGGCTCTGTGTTGTTCTGTATTTGTTTGTGGCACAGAAATCAAGCTGTAGCAGTGCAACTCCCCTGTATGCCTGTTTATTAGGCTTTGTAGGAATTTGTTTTTCAGATGAGTTGAGTTATAGCTGAAGCATATGTTGCTGTTAAGAGCGTGTGAGAGGTGAGAGGCTGATTGGAAGGAAGAGAGAAAACCGAAACCATCAAACAGGGATTTTCCTGTCTATCTGTGTGTAGTGGCTGTATCAAAAATCCGACATGCTGAGACACTGCTCCTATCACCAGCTCAGCAGTGCAAAGGCCTTCTGCTAGTACTGATCCCTTTCTTCCTGCCATGCTCTGTAAGTTGTCAGATCCTGGTGCTTTTTTCCTCACATCATCACTAAGGTCAGATATAATTCTTGCATACAAACACATACTATTTTTACAGTACAGTGTGGAAATTTCTACTAAGACTACAGGTTTGTTTATTTATTTATTTATTTTTTATCGACTCTGATATTGGCTTGGTTCTTCTGATCATACGAAGTGAATCTATCTTTACTCACCGCTTTGTCAGAGCTGGTTTGTCACAGCCAAAATCAAAGTTTAAATACTAGCATTTTTGTAAGTCTTTGCACATCACATCCATGAATCTGGTTCTCATAAGGACCTCACAATTTTAGGGTATTTCTAACACAAACCTACTTAATTTTTAGCTACGTTTGAGGTGAAAGCAATTAAGAATCTGCTAGGTTGAGTTTTTCTTCTGTTCAGAATTATAAAAAATAACTTATTTTGCAGGGATAAGAATCTGTTCTACCTCCCAGTGCAATTATCTTTAGCAGCACACTGAAAAGCACACTGGGAGGCTGACAGTAAGATTCCATGCAGTAGAAAATAACAGGTTGAAGTCTGATATCTAGGAAATGCTCTGAGCTGCAAGTCATACTTTTAGCAGTAGAGAAGTCTGAAAAAAATCTACTTTTTATTTGTTAAAAAGCTGGTTCCAACACAGCTGATTACTGTACTTACTGCAACTCCTCCTTTTAAAGTAAACTAGCATCAATTTTTTTTTTCTGCTTTGCTGAACAAGTGGAAAGAAGTAATAGCATAATGTAAACAGTTAAATTCTATGTGAGATTAGACTCAAACATATAAATGGATGTGCATACCAATCAGTGCATGTGTATAGATACAAGTTTATCTACAGGCATGCATTATAGAGTGATCATAATAACTTTGTCAAAGGTTATTGAATTGGGGGAGGTGTTTCTAACATTCAAAGACAAGCTTTATTCCAATATGAAGTAATTAAATTGTTCCCACAGTTTGCTGACCAGGGATGTTAATCTTAAAACATGTCAGATTTACAATTCTTTTTTATATGATTATTTAAAAAATAGAATTGGGAGAGTGGTGGGATGCTATTTGTTTTTAATCTTCCCATGCCTTTTAGTGCAACATTAACAAACACAGTAAATCTCTCTCTAAAAAGAAAAATTGCACCTTATTTAGTGAACAGAAGGTTGGTTAGTTTGTTATTTTTAATGAAATTCTGTAGAGTTGGATAAAATTCCGAAGTAAACCACAGGTTCAGCAGTACAGGGCATTATCCAATTCCTATTAAGCCATGGGAAAACCTCCCATTGGTGATCACTGTGCACTGCACAGTTTTGAGGGCAGAATAGAAGGTAAGAGAAAATGTAATTGAAGTATTATGTGTAGATATGCCCAAGTGTTGTATAACATGATTTCATGGGATTTTATATGATGTGGTAAAATGGATGACAGTAAAATATAACTAGGATTACTATATAGAAACAATATGGAAATATAGTAATTTAAAGGAAGGTAAAAGAAAAGAAAACAGATGCTACTAAGAAGAAAATAGAATGCGACAGCAAGGAGGAAAATATCATGCAAAGGTGAAGTTCCAGATGAAAATAATGTAATGTAGGACCTTGTCTTTTCACTTTGGAAAGGACAGTGTTTTAGAGCCTTCTGCAAAGAACTGTGAGCATCTGAGACTAACTTTGAAACAGAAGAGCAAATTTCCCTTGAAGGCAGTAAGAGCTTTGATTTTCTTTGGAGCAGCTGTAGAGACAGAGTTCTCGCAGAGGTCTTCTCCCTCCCTTAATTTTTACAGAGACTTTTCACAGTCTACTCAAAGTGACGCTCCCCTGGGCTCCTTCTCCAACACCATTGTCAGCATGACTGACTCAGCTGCTCTTTCTGTGTAGAAATGAGTAATTTTTTGAAGATGGGATCATGGTGGCTCAGGTGTGTGGCTATCAGTGCGTACTGATGCTGCACCCTGTGTGACAGGTATCTAATTGTTCTGATTGTGCTGTTGTAAACTCTTTACAGCCAATCTGATTAAATTTAGCCATGTTTACAAAGACATGAGAAACTAACTTGTGCTGGAACTTTATGCTGATTGTAGTTTCTCAGGTTGATAAACTGAACACTGGAGAAAACATTCCTTTCTCCTCCTGAGGACATCAGCTTCTACAGGGTCTGTATGTTTTATTAGACCTGAAAATGGGGCATATACAAAGCTCTGCATTGCCTAAGGCGGGATATGAAAGAGTGAGTCTTATGGGTCAGAGCAGTGCTTCCTCTATTTGCATTTCTAATGTAGTTCTTCTGAGGTATGGGGTGAAACGGTGGTGAGAGTTGGGGTAAAATCTCCCCATTGTTGGGTCACGCCCAGGAGGCAAACTGGTTTAGACATACTTGTAAAACACTGGTTCTGTTCTCTTTATTAGGTCAGTTTTAGAAAAGTAGAGACAAAGCAATGATGTTTCACTGATGTTTGGTGCCTCACATTGCAATGAATTTTCTAGCAGTATAACAATTCTCACTTGAAATCAAAGACAAAGTTTGCTTGTTCAGCTGCCTGTTGTTCATGAACTTGACTGAATCTGCACATAGAAGGAGGGGCATCTCTGAGGAAAAGCTTCTCTTCTAGGCAGGAAGTCTTCATTTCTTTCAACTGTGATTTAAAGTAGGCAGACCCCTCTGGTCCTACTTATCGCTGTTCTCACTCTAAGCAGTGGCTTCAAATGATAAACAAATGAATACATCCTCGCCTCTATGACCTGTAGTTTAAGAGCAAAACCACCAGTTTCCTTTTAGAGAGTGACATTAAAGGCTGTTTCTGAAGTGTAGCTTTTTTTCTGTGAGTTATGGAAACCACTGAATTAATCCAGAAAATTAGAGTTTGCATCTGTTGTTGGTTTCATTGGAGTTTAATGTTTTTCACTGTCGCAGAAAGCACCTGGAACACTGCAGAGGTATTTGGTTGGGACTGGGATTTTATGTGGAGATATGAGGCTGGTAAATCCTTGTATAACACTTCTTAATTCTGCTGTGGTTGTAGATAGGAACCCCTTTCTGATGAGCAGCTGATTTTTGTTGAGGTGCTGTACAGTCCTAGTACTGCAGCATCGATTGGTGTCCTCCAAACGTGAGGGTTAATATATGCCTCTGGCTCAAAGCAGCTTTTGTAAAGGTGATTTTTTTTCTTTTAAAGAGAAGTGAATCTTAAAATGTCCAGGATGAATTTGTTAACATTTATCCCAGCTGCAGTCCAACATCTAATACTTTATTGGTGAGAAAAATTGAAACTAGTATTCCTAAAAGAGCTGGTGTGTTCTTTATGTGAAGCTAGAGGTCAAGAGCAAAATGGATTTTATTGCACACGCCATACACGTAGGGTAATTGTGGATAGACCTGAGCTGTCCCAGAGTGTGCAGATGTCAAAACTTGAAACAAAGCATGGGAAAATCCTATGTGCATACACCAGAATTGACTGGATGGAGGCTAGGCTGCATGTGGGCTCTGATGATTCACCATCTATCCCACACTGCTTCTGATTTTGGCACAAGTGAGCACAAACTTCTACTGTTATGACTTTTGGTAATTGAGTTATCCAAGAACAGAGCAAGTCAGTACCGTGTGGAAAAATCCTGTTTCTAAGAATGTCAGCCTGAAGTTGGAGCTGGGAACTGCGCTTTTTTAGGCTGCATTAGCAACAGTTATGGAAAATTTAGGGGAATTTTTCTGCTGTTCTCAGGAGTGTGATCTGCATGTTGAGTGAATACAGTTATGTTTAAACTTCTATACTGTTTTGCCTCAGTGTCCTTGATCTGCTTCTTTATGTGGTTCAATCTCTTTTAGATTTAATACAGAGCTAGAGAAAGAAAGGAAAAAAAGATTTTTGTTTTTGTAATAGGTTAGAATTTTATTTGTTCTGGGTTTAAATTCATTGAATGTTTACAGACCCTGATGACAAGTTGTATTTTGGTCATGGTAGGCAAAATCAGCACAGATTCTGAGATCAACATTCTACTATGGAAACTGGATAATTAATTTGGTGAACGTTTTACTATGTAGGTATTACTGAGACCTATGTGAATAAAAGTAAGGAAAGCATAAGGAATTTTGGCAGATTTAGTGGAAGCATTCCAAATGTTCCAGCAATTTATAAAAAAGTAATAAAATAAATTTTAGCGAAGGGAAAATTGTGAAGGACAAGCCCCACAGTAGACTTCTGAACATTTAGGGATTATTTCATAATGTTTTAAATGAATTTGCGTAGGAAATCCAATACATAAGTATTGGAGAGAAAAATTAAGACCTGGTCTGATACAATGTTGTTGAAATATCCGATTACCAAGATAAAACTTTGCAATTGATAGAGTAGTAGAAGACAAAAGCCAACTCCAGAAGAATGGCAACGTGGTGGTGCTAGACTGCAGGAGATGCATGGTATTCATCAGGGTTCAAAAGCAGAGGGTGAAAACCTTCATGTACTATTGGGAAGGCTCCTTCTGAATATCTGTGAAGGGACATGACTCTCAGATCACAGCCTGTGTCATCAGCTCCTTCATAATGAGAATCATTGTGGATACTTTAGATCGAATATCTGTCGCGTTAGATTATACACATTCCTGAGCAAGGACGGGGACCTGTAAAGGTGGAAGTGCAAGAATCAGCCCAAAGATCCTAATTTTACATTTTAAATGTGCTGGTTGATATTCAAGGATTCTGTGGAATTTGATGTATCGCTTTATTAGGTTAGCACAATTATCCTGAAACCACTTACAGACATCGCTGACAAATACAGCTCTTGGAAGTGTGATTTCAAGAAGACACTCTGTGTTTCTCAAGTGTCTTCTTCAGTAGTACTTGAGTAATTGACGCTGTAGAGTAATAAGACTTCATCTCCAGACTGTTAAGAATTAGCCAAGCAATCATTTCTTGAGCACTAGTTCTATATAAATATTTAGGGGCTTTTGCACTGCAGTCACACTTCAGCTCGTAAGGAATATGCCATGGCTGCCACTGCTCAGCAATGGATGTATTTCTCTGGGATTTTTCAGGCAGATGTTGGAGCACTTTGCCAGGCAGATGTGATGTTTGTTCTATTCAAGTGCCAAGCTGGCCTGCAGCCTATGGCTGAGCAGTACAGGGCTGAGCCTGAGATAATATACTCTGCTTTCAGCAGGCCTTATTAGTTTGGGCTCAGTGCCACGCTAACTGCGGCTCTGCTCTGGAGCAGACTTATGCCCAGCTGGCAGGGAGTGTGGTGAGAGTTTACTTCATGTTAAGTGTGGACATACCCAGTATCCCTTTCTCTCCCCAAGAGCCTAAAACAAGTCCCAGTGGAGTCAAAAGAATGATTCCTATGTCTTTCAATGTCTTTGGATCAGACCATGATATAAGAATGTGCCTGCCCCAGCATTAGAGTACTCTGCCACCTGGCCGAGTTCAGGGTGGGTTTATCTATATCATGCTGTTCTGATATTTTCTTCTGTGTTATACAGCATTATCGTTTCTTCTGCAATTGCAGTCACTGCGTTATCACTTCATTTTAGTATTTCAACTATGACTATTTGCAGTCTATTTTAACGTCCTGCAGCTGATAAATTCTGAATGCCTAGTGAACCAAATCTGACACCAAATAAGGTCCTGAACCAAATCTGACACAAGAGAGGTGGTTTGGAGGTTAAGTTGCTAAAACATTCATGAAAATAGGCAGCTCTGGTATAGATGAGGAGAAACAGTGTTGGTGCTTATCAGTCAAGCAATAATGGCAATATGTCTACGTTTGCTGGGATTAGAACATAAACAAGGAAAAAGAACAGCTGATGAGGATTTATTCAACCTGCAAACCAAGGATAAAAAACAAATTAAAAAAAAAAAAAAAGGCAAACTTCATGAATTTTGTTTTGCCCAAACCACTTGCCTCAGTCAATTCTCATGAGCTAGAGGCTGACTTCTAGAAGGTGTAGCATTAAATAGGTTGCAATTTGGGCTTTTTGTCTTATTCAGTAGGTTTTCTGAAGCATATATTTAATATACGGAGATTTTTGTTAATTTTTGTTATTTTTTAATTTTTAAATTTAATTTGTTATTAATTTTAGAAGATATGGGATTAGTTAAGAGTGTGTTTAGAACAGGGGACAGTTGAAAAACAACAATATTGTCCAAGCTGCTAGGAGAATCACCCATTATTGCTCTGTTCATCTTATTATATGGCTGAAGCTGATGAGGGTTAACAGTATGATTATTTTTCTTCATGTTTAATTTTGCACTTTTCTTTTTTGAAATTAGTGTATTTAGTCTTGTCGCCCACAAGACATAACTGCAGAGTCCAGCCTTCTGAGCTTAACATTTAGGCAAAAGTGCCATTTGTAAAACCTCCAGCAAAATTTACCGCAGCTCTGTGCACAGTTGGTCAGGCTGCAGTTTGGATGTGTCTGCTGTGATTTCTGGTTAACTCAGCCAACGAGTGTGAACAGGAAACCTGGACTAGTACCGCAGCACTAATCGTCAGAGTCAACTAGTGCTCAAAATGAATTTTAATTAAAAATAAATCAATCATTCTGAGTGAGAGCCACAGATACAGTATGACAAACTCTTGCCTGGAGTTAATGTTTATGGGTAGTTTCATAAGCTGTTGAAAAGCAGGACATATTGCTACACCCTGAAATATAATGGTGTCAGTGGCTGCTGGTATAATAAACTGCAGAGCCTCCTACCAACCTTTTGGATTAAGTAATAAAAGAAAATGATTAAGAGGGCAATTCCATCATTTTTCTTTTGTTGAATAAAACACTGTTTTTCTTCCTGACTTGCTAACAGAGACAGCCATGAAAATGAATGATTTGGCTTCACCCAAAATGATGGATAATCCTGGTAGAAGAGCATGACAATGATAGACAGACCTCTTCTGAAGGAAGAGGTAATAGAAAAGACTGACACTTTGATAGGCACCATGATGAACAAGGCCCCTGGGGCTGTGAGTTAATAGGTTAAGAGAAGTGTTCTGGCACTCTCAGCCCCTTCCATGTCTGCGCTCCTCTTAGAGCTCCTTCAGCACCAACCTAAGTAATGTATTAAACTGAGGATCCATACATCTTGCAACTCATCCATGTGCTTTTTTGCATTTTTCTTAGCATTGTCCCAGAACACATAATGAAACTACTTTCCTTACAGAAATGAGATACGGCAAATGCCCACTCTGCCCAACTCTATTTACGTTTCCCTCTTCAATCTCTTAGACATTGCTTGCAGGTAATATAATGCCCTAAGGATATTGAACATGTTGGGTTTAATCACCTGTGAAATATGTTGTCATGACGTCCTGCTGAAGTTGATGGTGGGCCATGTTCTGAGGTTAACTAAACCAGGAGAGAGCCCAAGTAGTTTCATTGACATCAACAAAATACGTGGCCAATTTCTTGATGTTCCTTGTCATATCATTTCCTTCTCTCTTTTTTTCCCCCCATCACCTTTCATCTCTCATTGTTAGGATTCTGATTATCTACTAACCCAAATATTTAAATAATAATGACAGTAACAAACTGAGATTTACTTAAATGATTTTTATTTAGTTATAGCAGTTTTTAATGGTGATTTTTTGTTTTTTAAATTTAAAAACCTGTAACTTTCTCCTGATAAAAACAAAGTTACTTACCTGCTAATGTATATTCATTATTTGTTGCATATCTTTGTTGTTTTGTTACTGATGTCTGTTCAGAGGTTGTTTTTTGCCAGCCTCGTTATCTTGGCCTGAAAATTAAAGTAACATACTTTTACCAGATTTTTTTTAATGCCTTTTGCATTATGGATTGTTTTGAAATGAATGAATATTTACTTATCTGGTTTTCAAAACCAACTGCAAGAGTAAGTCGTAACAAGAAGGGTTTGGTACAATGAGTTTGAAAACTGTACAGTAAAGTTGTTAATAAGCAGTCAAATTAACATGAGAAATAGTAACAGATGAATAATAACGTAAACAAAAAAAGCAGAAAACCTCTAATGTCAGTAAAGCAAGCTTTACAGCTAGAAGAAAGTAACTTAATATATTTCAGATCAAAGGATGTGAGATCTTACTTGATGGAAAGGTTCTCTGTAGCTATAATGAGAAGTCATAATGATATACTTGTTCTTATTGTTAGTAGTAAGGGATAATGTATGGTTTTCTACAAAGGAGAGCAGAGGATAGATCAGCTCCCTGAAATGCTGCACGAATTTGGACAAGCTAAAATCTTTCTCTGTAGTTTTATTTTTTTTTTCTTATTTATTTTTAGTGCTCCCAGGCATAGGTTGTCAATATGTCTCTGCCTTCATATGATAGATTTCTGTATAACCTTAACAGTGTGTTAGTGTAATCCAAACAAGCTTGAGGTGTGTATTTTGTAAGCACATGACAAATGCATTTATTGATAGATTTCTAGTCTGGCTCTAGGATACAGTCAAGTTGGTATAAAATGCCAGGTTTATATAGAAAAGAAACATACTGTAACTTAAGTAGTGTGACTGAACTGTGTGTACTCGAATGGGAAAATGTTTACGGGAACTATTACTTTTTATTTGGCTTGCTTAATGAAGAAACTTCTTTATTAAGTGTATCTCCTGCTTTCCCTTCATGTACACGAACATTTCTGAACTTCGGTAGAGCAGTGTAAAAGAAACCTGTTGCGGAGTGTTATGCTGTTATTTATAAGAATATCTATGTGTTCCATCAGTTAAATGTAACCCCAAATTTAGTGTAGACCAAGTTGGTTTAAATCATCTCTCGTTAGATACCTGTGTATGGTTTCAGGCTTCAATGACCCAGCTCCAGGGAGGTTATATGGAGGTTATATGTTGCGTCAAAGAGAACACCATAAGCAGAGACTATAGCTGTGTATTGTATGGATAATAGGACTGCTCGAAATATAATTCAGAACTAAATCTCATCCCTTATTTTCTGTCTAGCAATAAACTGGTCAATTCTTTCTCTTTTAGAGCTTATTAAGATACATGTCAAGGGACTATGAAAACTGATGTTAAATTAGCAAATGGTCTGTTAAGAAGTGTAGACACTTACCTTTCTGGAGCAAATCACTGCATGTATTTGTACCTAGATTTTCCCATCTGTAATATAAAAGAACGATACTGAGTTCCTTTGTAAAGTGTCTATAAGATGCAGAGAGAAGAGGAGATGCTGTCCTTCAAAGTGTTAGCATGGGTGCACTGGTACAAGGGAAATGCAGAAAAAATACATTGCAGATCACTGGCTTTTTGGCGCGTGCCGACTGCATGGCAGTGACAATCCTACCAAGTGGCAATCTTGTAGCCATAAGCACATTTAAAGTAATAATAGTTATGAGTTGAAGATATTTTGTTAAGCACTGGAACAGGCTCCCCAGGGAGGTGGTTGAGTCACCATCCCTGGATGTGTTTGGATGTGGTGTTCAGGGACATGATTTAGCAGAGGATTGTTAGGTGAGGGTAGTATGGTCAAGTTGCGGTTGGACTTGATGATCTGTAAGGTCTTTTCCAACCTGAGCAATTCTATGATTCTGTATCTCTATTCTTGCAGCACGTTGGCATGTATGAGACCTCTTGAACACCTGAAAACAGCAAATGCTTTTGGAATAAAATCCACTCGACACCTTTAGTCCAACACACTTCTGTCCTTTTTTTTCTTTCATTTGTAATACACCCTCGGTACTGATTACCCTCATAGTTCACTGCTCACTCCTACAGCAACAAAAAGCCAGCTGAGATAAAGCTATGCTCTGAAAGAACAGGCCGATCTGAATTTTAAATTGATACGTGTGCCTGTGTGCACATATATCTCTATTTTAACTGCAGGCAGATATATCAAAAGTGCCAGAGGATTTTGTCATTTACGTATGAAAATTAATTCATAAATCTTTTTTGTATTTACAGCAGTCCTGACAGAGCTTATCAAAAATGAGTTGCCTTATGGAACTATCAATGGATTAATAAAAAGAATCTGATCTAATATTCATGTCACAGGAGACAAATGTAAACGGCCAGGCAACTTCGTCTTTCTATTGTTAGCGAAATGTTGTTTTTTTTCATAACTTTTCCTTGTAGATTTTGTTTTCTCATTTCGTAACTGCTTTAACAAAAGAACTGTGCCATCAATTTTGCTATATTGCATTATTCATGTGAAAGTATACACACCGAATTCAATCCACAATGGGAAGAAATACAAAAGAATGTACTACATTATTATTCATATAAAAACAAGAAAGCATTCAAGCTCGTGTTGCCCCGTTATATTTATGACCCAATAATATTTTTCAGCTGCGTGGTTCTGTGAGTCCAACACATCCTGCTGCCCTATCACTTTAAGAAATCTTAGTGCCTAATTGCTTATCCTAATTACCTTATTGCTTGGTTTTGGTTTGAGACCCAAGCAGCTGATAATTGATCTGAAGAAAGGATCCGGCCTGTGACCTGGACTGCTAGTTGTAATGAAAATTGTTAATTTATTGTGGAGGAAAATGAAAGTAAAATAGTACTTCTACAAAAGAATGAGCATAGCCCTGATAGGTTCCAAAGATGCTTACTGACAACTGGTTTGCTGCTGATGGTGTTGAGCTTAAGGGAGCTTGGGGTGAAATGTCCTGTGCTCAGCCCCAGAAGCACTCCCACCCAAACGAAGGCCCTGCTCGTTTCCTGCCCTCATTTACCTGTTACCTGCTCCATTCCTACTGGTGAAGCAGTCAGCAGTAGCGAATGCAAAGTTTATCCCAGAAACCTCTCAGTCTCGTCTTGCTGTGTGCCTGGAAGTTAATTGAAGTCTGTGTTTCGCTGCTGTATAATTTGCATGCTGGTGCTTAGTAACGTTTACAGATCAGATTCTCATTTTGAGAAAAACAGCACGGAGGCAAGGTAGGCAGTCCTGCTGCACCTGGTGTTCCTGCCCTAGAGAGGCCACCTCAGTGCCAGAGCTGCTGTTAGGGTACAGTGGATGTGACATTAAGCTTTTCCAGTCATGACCAGCATGAAATGATCTGCTCAGGTAGTGTTGCCTTCCATTCAGAAGTAATTAGCGTCCTCGATATTGCAGATGTACCATTTACTTACTTTCTAATTCAGTACTATGCTAAGGACAAATTACTTTCCAACAGTAAATGTCAATTGTTTCATAGCAACCAGAAGTACCTGAGAGCTTTTCTTTAGTATTAAATCCCATCATAACAGTATCAAGCCAGGTGCCTTCTGTTCAGTTGGTGCTGGAGACTGACTGCATCCAGGCAGCAGAGCAGGGCTCAGATTTTGCCCTGGTGGTGCACGCCGGAGCAGAATTTGAGAGGCTGCCTACATGTTTTGTCAAAAGTTGGGTGATTGTAGTTAATTAATTTCATCAATGCTTGTATAAGATAGAAGGCTGTTTTAAGTGTTTGTTTTTTTGGTAGATTTTTTTTTTTTTTTAATCATCAGATCTTTTCTTTTGTGTAATGGCTTGATTTCATGCTCAGAAACTGTGAAATGAGTTCTTACTGAAAGAAAAACTGTCAATATTAACTACCTTCCAACTACTTTCTTAGTGGAGCCCAATAGTAACTAGTACCACAGCATGATCCAATGCATACAATTTGAAATGCAAAAGAAAGCATCTAACTAACACTTTATAAAAATTTATTGGAGGTATTGCAACCAAATATGTTTGTTGGTTTTTTTAGTTCCTGCCATACAAATCTTCATTTCTAAATTAGGTTTTGCTAGGCACAAAGTGAGCTCGCCCATGGCCAGCCAGCATGTTCAGTGATGCTGAGTGCAGGGAAAAGAGCAATTTCTCTGTCCTTACAGTTCAGTCATGGCCTTCCAGTTGTTTAATCCAGGTTACTCAGGACTATGAGGATGTGCATTTAATTCCCTAGAAACACGAGTGTATCCAGGAGTGGTCTTCCCTGGGCAAGAACAGAAGCACATCTTAGAACTTGAGTAAACTCTGCAGTTGTGCAAGCAATCATCAAGGGCACAGGAGAGGCTTTGTCTTGCTGCTTTTGAAATAGATATGTTATTCTCAGTACATCATACAAATTAACCATTTAATTTAAGACCATTTCGATTGGCCAAATCTCTACAATTAAGCTTTTGTAGTGCTTAGACAATTTGGAGTCAATTTCATGAAGAAAGCAGAGAGAAAAAAAAAAAAAAAAGATTTGGTGATATATCCTACGTCTGCTTTTACTTCTTTTGTTAAAGGACAGACCTGGCTTCAATACACAAATCAGAACACAAAATAAGAAATTTCTCTTTGTTAGCCTTTGTGTGTGGACAAGAGTAAGCTACAGCTGATGAGGGATTTGGTGGAATTAAATATGCCCACCGGGAAAAGCTGTTACTGGATTCATAAGAAAAGATTGATTTTGAAAAGCTCAGACTGTCATATGAACGATCACTGGAGTCAGTATTTTTGTACAGCAAAGGCATAAAAGGCATAAAAAAACAGTGAGTTGTTGTTTCTTAATGGGAACAAGTTTCCAAAGCGCTTTGAGATGAGGCAGTTGCCCTAAGGTTGGCATGGTGATGATCCTTTCTTTTACTGTAGGACTGAACAAATGAACAAATTAAATTTGCACATTACTTGACATTGCCAGAGCTTTTGTTGCTTTTTATCTTTCTCTTTTTAGTATGCTTTTCTTTCTGAACATGATTTTATTATCTTAAATGAAAGTATGTATTTCATACTACATCTCTGCTATTGCTAGAAGTTTCATTTCCTCACCTTTAGTTAACAACATTCACTTGTTACTACTTGTAAAAGGTACTTTCTATCTACAACCATGTAGGCCTAACGTACTGGGCTGTGTAGAAAATGATTTTTGCCCAGTAAAATATCTCATGCAGCAGACTAGCTGTGAGGAGATGTTGTTTGAACGTTGGCTATGTTCTGAATGCTGACTTTTTTTTTTTCTTTTTTTCTTTTTAAACGGAGCCAGATTTGGGTCTTGGTAGATAGATGGTGAATGTGATTCAGTTTTCTTTCACCTTAACCGTTATATTCTTTTTCCATACTAAGAATAAAAGCAAGCATTTAAGACTTAGGCAGCTGCGCTTAGCTATGATTGCAGTTATAGATTATAAAATAGACAAAGGATCTTTAAAAGTTATGTTACAAATTGAACATTTTCATTTCATACATACTGCTAGTTTTGATAAGCCCAAAATTAGAATCGTGTTCTGTGACTGATAATCCATAAGAAATAAATGTAGTTAGTTAAAATTTCTACCAGAACTGAAACACAAAAGTTGCAGAACTAACACTGATTTTTCTAAGAATAATAAATCCGCAGAAACACAGATTATTGCTCAGATAGAGAGAAGTACAGCAACCCAATAAGCATATGGATGATCAAAGATGAAGGTAGCCATGAGAAGTAAAAGAAAAATTACATGAGTATAAATTCATAAGAAGCAGAACAAGAGAAAGTGTAGAAATGAACTTGAATATTGGAACTTTGGCAGAAAAAAACAATTCCCTCAGGCTGCTGTCCATCTGGTGCCCAGCCCGTGGCATACAGACCAAGGTCATCTTAGCAAATATGTAAGCATATTCATAGTAACCTGCATTGTTTTTTGTTTATGTGTTGTTTATTCAGTTGGCTGTATTCCATTACAATTAAGCACTGATTTCATAAGCTTCTGAATCTGTTCCACTTCTATAATTTCCCAATCTTTCCTCGCAATAGTTTTACATTTAACCACTTATGGTGACTATGAGGAGGAAAACCTGAACTGTTCTTATTTTTATCAGTAATTGTAGAAGATACATTGATAGTGTTGTCGGTTGCCTTCAAAGTCTGTGTTGAAGGCTGATGGGGACCAGTACAGTTATGCGACTGCATATTCAACACTTGGGATATTAGAAAGATACCATTGCTGTAACAGCAAACAACAAAAGCAGAGTTCTACCATTACTGTATTAAGTAAAATTGAGTTGTCCTTTTCCTCCTTCCTTTCTAGATCTCTCTGAAATATGATTTGGTGGAAATCATGTTTTCTGTGTAAGAAGCTTTATTCCATGCTCTGGAAATAGAGTAGTATGTGGGTTACGTATAAAGCTCACCCTGCTATTTTCATATTTGTATATTTTTCATATGCTATTTTCTGGCCTATAGTGCTGTAATTCTGACCTATTCTTTTCACTTTCCACGCACTCAAAGCCTCAACTCTTGTTCTTCATGATTTCAATTACAAAAG